GGCGGGCCGGGCTGACGCGTGGCAGCGCCCTGCGGCAGATGAGGCACGCGCCGGCCTCATTTCAATGTGAATGGATCGAATGGAGCAGCCATGTGGCAGCAACAGTTTGCAAATCTCCCCGCCTTCTGTGCAGCTCCCTGGCCGCCGCTCCCTGCACGTGGCCCCTTCTCCGCAGCGACCACAGCGGCGCCCCTCAAGGCTTAAAAGCCCCGCCCAAGCCAGGCCAGCTCCCCCGCCCCTGGCCTGCCCAGCGGGCGCTGTGGTCCAGCCCCCACCGCTCTCCTACCTGGGTGCAGTTCGTCCCGCGGAGAACGGGGTCCCACTGCTGGAAGGGTACAAAACTGCTCTGGAGGTCTCGGAGCTGCGCCACCCGCCTCTTGGAGGGCGCTTGGGTTAGCAAGTGGGGGAGGGGCTGCGAGACTCTACGCGGCCCAGTAGCACCCTAATCACCGCGGGTCGGCCTCGGGGCAAGGCCCCAGGTGGGGGTTCTGCCTGCTGGGGGGGTGTACAGCGGTCAAACGGAGAGGAAGGCAGAAGCAGAAGGCCCCTGGGGCGGAGGTGGTAGGCCTTGCCTGAAGCCAGGCCTCAGCCCTGCTCTGGCACCGGACTCTGGGCATTGCGGATGCTGGTGAGGATGAGGAACCATGGACCCTCATCCGGGTCCAGTCAGGGAAAGCCCAGCCTGGGAAAGCCCAGGTCGGTTGGGCCTTGCATCCGTGTCCCCTCTCCAGGGCGTCGCCGAACGTCTGCGTAGGGGCAGGGTCGTCAGACGTCCACGTGGGTCTAACCGCACTGTGATGTGCGTCCTCAGATCACCGTAAACCTCCTGCTCCTGGGAGCCCCCAGGACACGTGTTGGGTCATTCTGTCCACAAGTTACGAGTAGGAGAAAAAGTGGAGGAGCCCCAGCTATAGAGCCTCAGCACTTTGGTTCCCTGTCCGCAAGGCGACCATCTCCTATTCAGCAAATGTTGTCAAATCTAGACTCCAGCAGATTGAAGCGCTAGTGGTTATTTAGGGCCAAGGGCGGCGTCCTAGCCTCTTAGGGGAGTAATGAACTTCTGGGACAGCACCGGTATAGCAAATAGGTGCTTCATTAATGCTTTTTGATGGCAAGGTGGATTTAACCCTTTCCTCTTCAGGTCAGAGGATTTCTAGGTCTCTGGGATCCCTTGTAAGAATTCTTGACTCTGAGGATAATGATGACACTTTTGTTTGATCCTTGATTGTTTGCAAAGTGCTTTGGAGCATATTACTCCGGATGCGTATGAAGGGTAGAATGTGTTCCAGTTCTGCCAGTATTGAGTAAGATCGCTCCTGTGGGACTACATGTCTCCGTTGAGGGTCAGGCATGAGCCAGAGTCACAAAAGGAGGTTTTTGTTTGTTTGTTTGTTTTTAATGAATTCTCGGGCTAGGATTTCAGGGTGGAAGCGGGAAGAATTATGTAGGGCCGGATGCCAGCTCAGAGGAAAGCGAGGGGCACTCTTTGGCACCCTAGGCAGGACTAAGGGAGTATGGGCGGAGAACCCACTTCTTGTCAAGATAGCTGGGAGGCAA